TGTAAAAAAACATTTTATTTTATAAAATTTTTATTTAAAATATTATGCGCATAACAATTTTATTGTAGCAAATAAGTAGCGTGCAAAATAGTATCACAGAAATAAAATAATTACTATCGAAGTCTTCTAAGCAACGTAACCGTACAAGGCACGGAATTCCGCCAGAGTGTTTACGAACACATTTTCGTTTAGGATAGTTTGATTTTCAAATAATTAATTTTTTAACATGTGTAAAACTATTTATATCGTTAAATAATGTTTACAATAATAATGTTGTATATCAAAAATAAAAGAAAATCTTGTAAGTGAAAAATATTACATAAAGCAGCGCTTTAAAGACCAGAAAGTACGTTAATGGTAAAATTAAATTTCAGAGACCAAAATTCTCCCTTATTATACGGTTGATCGAATGAAATAAGAATTCATATTAAGCTTATTAAAATATAAGGAATAATTGGAGTAAATCATGATGATTGTTATTTCAATAGCTTTTAAAAAGAAATAAGGGCATTTAAAGATGTCAGGAACCAGACGGTTACCCTGTTCTATTGACCTCCCCCAACGGCGTTCCAGTAGAAATGATTCAAAGTTAATTATTTCAAAATATTTTCCACTCACCGTAAGTGCAGTCCGACTTCTTAATGCCATTGCTGTTCTCGTTAGAAAAAGATTTCGCGCAATATCAAAAACTCGTCTTCTGATTAAGCTGCTTCCACCGTTTCTCAAACAACGTTCACTTCGTAGTAACGACTCTGTCGGTTTGAATTTGTTTAGTCGATCGGACGGAAGTTCACCCTCTACGGATGTTAGTAGGCAGAAGAAGGAAAACCGCGAAAATCATGACATTTCATTGGTCGGTCAAATGGTCACGTATTTCAAAAGCGTCAACAATTGTTTCATTTTTTTCTTGAAGTAATAAATTTCAGTTACTTTTTAAATTTATTATTCAAATAAATCAGTACACAGAAATAAATTCTGCTGATGTTTTTCAATATTTTTATAAAAAGGTGCTTCTTTACTTTATTAAAACTGATTTTATACATAGTTACACAATCATGCATACTTTATCGTTTAAACTATAATAAATAATATTTAACACTCGTTTTACTTTGAAATTTTTTAATTTTGTTTTAAATAAAGTATTTCCTGTTGACATTTTATCAATGGTATCCAGATACTTATCTGGATACTACTCCAATTAATTTTGTATTATGCTTATGTGAATTTTGTGAAAATATATTCACTGTGAATTTTATAATTAAATAAATATATTAACTTAAATGCCATAAATAGTACATAGATAATAACCTTCGACAAATGTCATTATTGATAGACATTCAAAGTTTGTCATTCACTTATTAATCGATTAACTGTCATAAATTATAAAATGACAATAAATATTGATATCAAATTAAAGCGAGCTAGTAAAATATATCATGACGGGGTACGTTTTCGTATAATTTATGGTAATGTTACAGAGCAAAAAATGTTGAGGTTATGTTTCAGGAATTAGTTGCTGGTTTTATAGTGTTACAAACTAATTCTGATGTTAAACATGATGGAATATTTCTAAGCATGGAAGGTTCGGTTAATTTACAGCTCAGTTCAAAGAATTTTGGAATATTTGAAGCATTTTATAATTCCGTAAAGGTTAGTTTATTGCTTAAATCTTTATAATAAATTTATAAATTGTCATAAAGTAAATTGCAATGTAATTATAAATTAAAAATGAAGTAATCAATTTAGTTTCATTAATTATATTATAAATCATTTTCAGCCAATACAGTTAGTTCAATATACTTTAGATGTTGCCCCAAGTGGCAAACTACCAAGTGGTAAGACAGAAATACCATTTGAGTTGCCATTAAAACCCAGAGGAACTAAGTCTTTGTATGAAACTTATCATGGAATTTTTGTAAATATTCAGTACTGTATACGTTGTGATATAAAAAGAAGTTTCTTAGCAAAAGATGTGAACAAATCATTGGAATTTATAGTGGAAGATAAAGTGCCTCCTAGGACAGAAAAAAATGCTAGCAAACCAGTGTATTTTAAAATTATGCCAGAATCATTGCAAAATGCAAGAGATAAAACCAATGTACCTAGATTTTGCATTTCTGGAAGACTAGATTCATTACATTGCAAAATTTTTGAACCCTTAACAGGAGAGGTAATAGTATCATTAGATACATACTTCATGTTTCATATATTAATGTAAGATAATAATATTTTTAAATGTAAGGTTGTCATTCAATATTGTGAAGCTGTGATAAAGTCAATAGAACTGCAATTGGTGAGGGTAGAGACATGTGGTTGTGCTGAAGGATATTCAAGAGATGGTAAGGTGAAATATAGTAATACTTCTTTCATCATCTTATAATACTATGTTTATTTTAGCTACAGAAATACAAAATATACAAATTGGAGAAGGAAATGTTTGTACAAATTTATCTTTACCAATATATATGATATTTCCAAGGTTATTTACATGTCCTACATTGAGCACAAGTAATTTTAAAGTCGGTAAGATCATTGTATAATTTGCAGTTTGAATAGCTTCACAAAAATTTGTATAACAAAACATATATTTCATTTTATTACAGAATTTGAGGTGAATTTAATTGTAATATTTGAAGATGATTACTCAGTCACAGAAAATTTTCCCATTATATTATCAAGATATTAAATTTTGTATAGAAATACGATATTTTATATAAATTATGCATACTATTTACAGATTGTATATATTTCTTATAATAAATGCAAATTTATGTTAAATTTCATTCAAAAAATATTTAAAAAATTGTTCCCTTAATATATAAAGTAATGGATGGACAACACATAGTGTTATAAAATTTTTTTTACTCTAGTCCAACTTTCTGAACAAATAATTTATAATACTTTTCCACTTGTTTATTGTGAGTCAATCCCACTGAAGCCAGTAGTACAACATAACCAAGCACAAATGTTAATAATTTATGTTGTTTGAACCATGCTAATAACCCCTTGTTATCAGTACATCTGAAACATTGTCCATTGTTTTTTGAATTATAAATGCATATTCATATATTATAATGTATTACAACAAAATATATAAAGATTATAAGTATAGTAATTACCTTGTTGTTTGAACTTGAATACTGTAAACAAGAAGATATCGTACCCTTACCAATTCACTATTTGTTACCAAATAATATTTATTTGGAACCCTTCCACCTACAGAATCTGCTGCTACATTCCTAGCATTATCTTCTGTATAACAACAATTATTCATAAATCATAGATAAGTTTCATTTTACTGCAATATGTATTTACCTGAACCTCCAGTCTTTACATCTGCAGAATTAATAAGTTCACATAAAGCTATACAACTCATTTCACTTCCTAGCACACTACCTCCCCATCCATAGCCTATAGGACTGTAAGGTAAACTTACACCTAATTCACTTGTAAGATATATTCCTTTACCAAACAATGATTTCTAGAAAACACATTATATGCAGTAATTCAAAATATATCATTAAAGATTCAATCATGTTTCACTATATTATTTTACCTTGCACATAATCTGTTGTAAACCATAGTGTATAATGGAATGAAAATTTTCTAATCGACTACCATGATAAGCATAAAAAGTTGAATGGCCTTGAGCAAGTGTTTTCCATCTGTCCTCTGAAGTAGATTGTTTTGTACTTGCAACTTGGAATATTAAATTTGGTGCAACTACTGACATTTCTGAAGGTACTTTTCTCAATATTGAGTCATACTATATTACAAACATTTTTAATTGCAAATAACAGATCAAATTCAAAATTAAAACTTCAACAAAAATTGATATAATTCTCTACAGTAGAACTTACACATTCTTTTTTAATGCTTTTTAAGTAAGGATCTCTTAGACGTACTAAAACCCAATGTAATAGGTTTATAGCTGTCCCATACCTCTCATATACATCTGGTTCTGACAATGCTTTAAATATTACAGCCAGTGGGGGAATAACTTCTGTAGCTCTTCTCTATAGTTAAAATTCAACATACAATGAGTTAATTGTTCCATGTAATAAAGATAAAAATAATAAGACTGATATTTTAAAAACTCTACCAAAGCTTCAATATCCTTGCATTCATTATTTATGTACATTGGTGGAAATGGTTTCAGACAAGTATCATAGCGATATGTGTTACATGCTGCTACAAATAAGGACCATTTCAGATCAGCTGCTTTTATATCATTCTCCAACACATGTTTTAAAGACTGTATCCTTTTTTCAATATCTTCCTGATTTGTGGAATTTAATCGAGTTGTATATAGTACATCTAATTCTGCCTCTCCAGAAATTTTGTCGTCCAAATTTTTTCTTTGGCTATCTTTCTCCTTTTCTTTGTCTTTGTGAATATCTTGTTTCCTACTTGTATTATCCATTATTGATGAATCAAATCTAGATATAAATTATTAAGAAATATAACCATTGTTTTATAATTTCACATTTCAACTTTATTTAAAAAGTTACATACTTAGTGCCAAAATTTTGTTTAATTACTTTGAGCTATATTTATATTTTCAATACTGCAGTTCCAGTTAATAAAATGTTAACAAAGTTTATCAATAAAAATTTCTAAATTAATAATGTATTTGTAGAAACATCAAATCGCAATTACAATTATGATTTTGTCTGAAAATCTGACACGCAATTACGAAAAATGTTTAATTTCTAAGTGAACGATTTACAAGTGCAATGACTATTTTATTAGCATAAGGAAATAAGTTTATTTCACACTTATAAAATGATATATTTCATACATATTGGAACAAGTGTTTTTTAATTCATTTCACCACAATTATTAATCACTTAGTAACTTGACAATATTACGTATGTAACAAAAATAAATAAATAAAAAAGGAATAAAAAGAGTACAAGAATTCATAAAATAACAAATCGATGAATCTACTATCATTCAAGTATTACAAACAGTGCATTCACGTATTTTCTTCAATAAAGTATAATTTTTAGTCAGTGATACAACATTGAGGAAACGAAGTGTAAATTTTCCTAATGAATGTATTACTTTACAAGTTTCATAGGAATATTTACATCTTTGCAGTTTGCTTTTATTTATACATTCATTTACAATAACAATAACTTTTAATTTCAAAATTTTCGAATATAAAATAGTTAATAGAGTTAACTGCATCTTAACATATATTTTGAAAAAATTTTTTTGATTTACTCAATTTATTGTCACTTTAATGCCGCAATTGGTACGTTATTTGATCATCAAATACAATATTTCCTTTATCCTTTTAGATTAAGAAATAAATGATAAGAGAGGTATGAAATTTTTAGCTGCATTTTACAAGATATATTAATTTTTTTCAATAATTTACAACGTACTTACAATCCACGGTGAGCATCTTCGAAATCAAAATTTTCACGGTTATTACGAATTAAAAACCAGCCAGTTGTCAAGAAGTTATATATTTAATCTTGCGTTACAACAAATTTGTATTAAAATTACAAACATGGTCCTGAAGTGTTCAGGGCTCCTGTCACAGATCACATCTGTTTCATTGCGTTCGTTTGTTACGCCGATGTTTTTCTCTTTTACTTTTCTGAATTTTTATCCTTAAATTTGCAAATTATTTTTATATTAGACAATTTGCATTCAGTTGACATTACGTATAGTTAAAACAACATAGTGTTACAAGATGCAAGTATCATAACACAATACAAAAATATAAAAATAATAACTCTTAGACATAATTTGAAACAAATATTTTTTTATTTCTTTATAAATTTAACAAAAAGATGTAAAACACTTTGTGTTGCACAAAATGAATTAGTAACAATACATTTATACATAATACCGAGTTTTATTAAAGTTACAAATAAATACATTTCGAATAACATGCGATCAATTATATTAAAAAGTTTTACATTAATGTGTTCACTTATTATTTGAAGTCATTATTCTACTGATAATTATATTTCCGAAATTAAAAATATTATTGTTTATTTGTTTTAAATACTCCTATTGTGTTTGAAAGTGTCTATCAGCGGTAGTTAGAACGGTATTCAACGTATTAATTGACACCTAATGTTCTAATCCTGTAAGTCCCACAACGAATTGTATATCGCAAATATAAGAAAGTACACAATGTGAGCGTAAAAGTAACTCGAGTTGTCAGTCGTCCAGAACATGCATGTGATCCCTATGTAAATACAGGTCCATAGGGAACTTGGTCGAGAAGATTGGCAGGCATGTGACTCAATGTCATGCTTCAAGGTAAACTATCGATGACGTCAATGTACGTCACTTAACAAGTGGGAGTGGATGGATAGATGTCGGCAGCCGTGCTGGCTCTCGCGAATAATCGTACACGAAATTCGCAAACGTACGATTCGCGCGGGCGTTTGCGATAATGTCGCGTGCCTCTTAGCGATGTAGTTCTCTCGGCGGGAAAAAACGACTGTAAACAAAACCAAAAAGACACGAAAGAAGGAGAGAAAGAAAGCAGAAAACGGAGAAAAAAACGTAAGGAAAAAAGAGGAACGAGCAGCACATCGCCACACGTGTTTCCGCGGTAAATGGAAAAACACCGAAATCGGTCTGCGCATGCCCGGCCACCGATGACGTCACGAAAATTGTGCTTTTGATCAAACTCGCTCTCTCGCCGTCGTTTTTTTTTTCTTTCGCTCCATCGTGGACGTAATAATGTGGAAAGTGAAATAACCGTGCGGAAAAGCTCTGTAGGAGCCGCGGAGAAGCCGGTGAGAATCGTAAGTAAATTTCAACTCTCCCTTTTATCGTCTCAAAAGTCATCCGTTGACTTACAGTCTGTTAACATGGCCTTCACACACATGCACACGCGTGCGCATTTATGTGCATACTCTACACATATACACACGTTACACACACATACACATACGTGGGAAGCGTTCACATTTTCAAGAAAAAAAAGTTCGTTTCTCTGGCGATGTTTTAATATTGAGTGTTTTGATACACTCGAGGGTAAATTCACAAAGCCTGTACCAGGTCTAATAAATTCTACGGATTAAGGAGTCTTTTTCGTTAGAAGATATATTGATCTTTCCTCCGGAGGAACTATTGAAAATGACAGGTCGTATTTTTATTCGAATATTAATCCCTGTCAAGTTCTTCTGGTGATTTCAATTCGAAGGATTGAATCATCGAAGGATCCTTGAACTTTCCGTATAATATGTTTGTATTAATTTCGTTCTGTTCGGCGCAACACCGATTTTGGAAAGGTTGGTCTCGTGTATACGTCGCACAAAATAATACTTTTAAGAAAGAATGTTGATAGTTTAAAGGAAATGGCGTTTCAAAGTGTTTAGTAGTCTTACTGTAATATGTAATAAGAAGCTTTTGTTGGGTCTGGGAATGTTATGAAAAACAATCCATGATAATCAATAAATATTTAATAATTTTCTTCATAATAAATGCACTTTGTATATTTAAGAAGATAATATTTAATTCAAGATGAATACATCTTATCAAAGTAATTGTTTCATCTTTATTAGAACACCAATAAACAATGTGATAATAATCTAAATTAAACCTCTGATGTATAGTTGAGAAGAACTTATATTTTCATGAAAAGAAACAGCATTTTCATTAATGTTTATGTAAATTGTTGTACTGAATTATATTGTTCAATTTGTAAAGTCTAAACAGCGTATTTTAAACAGTGTACTTTTTGTGCAAAGTAGGTTACTAACGTAGAGAGTTTGTATAATTTACTTATGTGTCTTGTATTTTAAACTTTTTCTTGTGTAAACAATCCAAATCTATCACAAAGCTGTATATCTCATATATTCTCAAGATTAATTCTGAACCACTGAAATATCTTGTTTACCATATAAGATTTTATAAAATTACTGTTAGATGTAGAAATTTTTATAAACTAGCATTAATCAAAGCAACAATGTTTTGCGTGATTATTTGCTGAACAATATTGCTAATATTAACAGAAAGCAATACTGTTTACAAATAAGAAGTAGATGTAATTTCACAAATATATTCAATTTCAGTCATATATTAAAACATGTACAGTATGTCATAAGGGTTTATGATTATAATTTGTTTATCTTAAAATGTAAATGTTTTTCGGAAAATCTTTCTTTTTCTATTAGAAATTTCGTAAATAACTGTGAGATGCTGCCATCTATAGATGCAGATCTCAAGTGTATCCAGCTGCATCGGTAAAGCAGAAATTGATACATTTCATGCTAATGTTTTTATGCTAATTTTTAAATTAAAGACGCAGAAAAAAAGAAAGAAAACAACGGATAAAATATATATTTCTAATTTCATAAACAAATGGTAAACGTCCTTCTTAGTGTCCTACGTGACTTTTATTATGTTAAAAATGATATTATCAATTTATTTTACAAACAGAAAGATATTTCATATATTTTGTTTCTTAATTTATTCATCTTTTTATAATTTTTTTTTAAGTAAATAACATTTGTTTGAAACTTTTTCTATAAGAAAGGAATATAAGAAATACCAAAATTTATTCATTATTTCGCTTAGAATCGCAAAAAAAGTATCT